AGCACGACTGAAGTGGGTAGGTGGTGGGGACGGTTGTGGTGTAGATTTAGTGACTCAGATTATCCGGAGCTGTGTGTTGTTGTGATGCAGTTATCTGGCTGCACTTCCTGTGCAGGGCTCAGGGAGAACAACAGCTGGGTGCTGTGTTTAGTGTGAAACCTGCTGCTTTGTATTTGCTGCAGCACTGAGATTTTCAGTTAGAAAGAACAAGCTCATGCTAAAGGGAATGCCTATTTTCTGTCTTAACCAGTGCCATATATTGTTTTATATCTGTGATACACAGATGCAGCATGGCCAGGACATGTTTATACTAGCATGCTTGAGAAGACTAAACATTTATCTGCAGATCTCTATAAAGTATATTCATTACTCGTTATTCTCTACTAATAGTTCATTAAAGACTGTATATTATGGCTATTTTGCACATCCCTTTCAAGATTTCAAGATTTTCAAAGGTTTATTGACATATCATATACACAACTACGGTGTAGTTATGCAATGAATGAAAAACTTGGGTCGCAGGTTCCTCAACAGCGCATTACAAGACATCTATCAATATGTGTGTATACCTCCACCATTAAACTGTCAACATTCTGCACATTTCTTATACTATCTACATACATAAGAGTATAATTAATGTGTATAATATCAGTTAAATAAGTGCTTCAACATAGTTAACATTGCAGGAAAGTTCATTGTCAAGTCCCAAAACAAACCATGCAATATATTAGACTTTAAGTACTTTGTCAGGCTTAATAGTTATCTGTAGATACCGCCAAAGCTTTTTGCTTAAATGTATTTAAAAGAAGACCTTAAAGGTGGGGTAGGTAATTTTGGAGAAACCAGCTCGAGTGCGCTAGAATTTGAAAATACACAGCCGGAAAAAATCTGCCACTTCCTGACAGAGCCCCTCCTCCAACACACAGGAACGCGCACATGACCAATGAGGGCACGAGATCAGTTTGTGCACAGATGGAAGGCTGACAGGCAGGTAGGCCATCCAGTTACTTTAGCCGGGCCGGCTCAGATGATTGGTCGTGCTTTTTACAGTAGCTACAGGCTTCCACAGATGATATTTTTTTCATGGATTTTTTGTCAAAGCACTTCAGATATTCATTGCTATCGGGATGTTAAGAGCATTCCATGGAATATAACAAAAACTGTATCTCGAGCCGGTTTCTCAAACTTACCTACCCCACCTTTAACCTAAAGTATTATTTAATGTTTTAATAAAGCCTAATTAGTTTGTCTGTTTTGCACATCCATTAATATCTTTGTACATCCGGCACTAAACTGTTTTATTCTAGAGATCATTTACAGTATCTTCTTTTTTTTTATATTCTATATTTCTATCATTGACCTTCTACTTTCCCCCTATTTAGTATGTAATATTGAAATGTTTTCATAAAATATAACTCATTCAACAAAACATGCAGCGGACCATAGGTAGGCAAGGCCAGTTCATTTATACAGCACTTTTCAACACAAGGCAATTCAAAGTGCTTTACAAAGGCATTTAAAAACAGTCATGAATGGTTTCCGGTCTATTCTGAAGCCCAATCTCTGTAGATAAATAAATAACTAAGCCAGATGTGTAATATTTAATGCAAGCACCAGCTGAATAAAGTATGATTTTATCTTTTACGAAACATTTTTTTCATATGGAATACAGTCAGAGGTCAACCAATCACAGAGCTTGAGGACTAATCACGGGGTTTGTCGAGCAAAGCGGATGCTGCAGTCCCAAACGATAGCTGAGGATTATGGGTAGTGTCCTAAACTCCGATACAACTATTTGTTTCTCAGAATCGAAGGGGAAAAACACAAAAGCGTTGTCCACAATTTAAACCAATCAATGTTGTGTAATTAACAAGGATAAACTGATGTTTTTGAGTTGATGAGTAATGCAGATATCATTGTAAAAGGAGAATACTTACTTCCGGGTGTAAAATCCTCCGTTATCCAATGGGAATGGACGCTCACATTGCCTTTAACTACCGCCGACATGGACGGATGCGGTGCTTCCCTGAGCGTCAAATACCGCCACCGATGGGAATACATTGCAATCAGTTGAAAGCTGAAGGAGACTCGGTGCGTCCCAACTGCACGCCACGGTCACCCTGACCAAGCGTCGCTCCTGGACGATCAGGGAGTGAGAGTGTGTTGCGAAATAAGGTCTGTGGTTGACACAAAGTCAAGAGACAGATCACGTTTTGTTCTATGACATTAAATCCATCAGCAGTGACCCCACTGGTGATTTTTGAAGAGTTTCCGTGTCTGATGGTTGTTAACAAGTGGCTGAATAGGACTACAGAAGTTGTCGAGGACGTTGTACGTCATTACGCCGAACACGTAAACACTCCTGCTAAGTTTGTTTGCCCTGTTCTGCTTGAAAGCAAGTACCTGCCTCCTGCAGACTGTTCAAACAAACGCTTCAACTTGTACCATTTTGAATCTGTAATTTGAATATCGATCTTAAGTTGGCGTGACGTTGAAGTCGTGCTGCTGTACTCTGCTGTAGTTAGTTTATAGTATAACGTTAGCATTTTGCTTCTGGCGATTAGATTTATGATTAGAACATTATAAAAGTAGGTTAGACATGTGGAGATTATCCGGCTGAACAAAACTTGCATTTATCAAACAGGTTCGTTTTGCACAGACCTTATTTCGAGCTATTTTCCCAAAATCCTATGAAGAAATCCCTTTTTTTGTAGAGGGAACCCATGCGCACAGGGTTTGAGTTATGTGGGAGCCAGTGACGTGCGGTGAGGTTCATGGCTGGTGAGGCACTGACTCTTTCAGAGTCAGATTTACAAATATTATATTCTGACCTTAATCGAAATATTCTGTTATTTTCAAAAGCTTTTTTGGTCTGATGTTACGATTCATTTTAAACAGACCGTTCAACAAAAGGATACCCACAATCTAAATATTGGATTGTTCTTTCTTAGTAAGAACCAATTTTCATTACCAATGTGGTCTTACCTTGACTTGAAGATGAAGTCCATGCTATCCTTCTGGACAACAATCTCTATTACTTTTTTGTAAAAGTCCTCCTTATCTTCCTCTAGTTTCAAAAGTCTAGTTTGTTGTTTACGTCTATACCGTCTCTGCGTAGAATAACAGTAGCAACAAGGACCTGTGGGCTCATGTGCGCCCCCTTCAGTGCGGCAGAGGTTATGGCTGCCTCTCCTGGTGCTTTTTTCATTGCCGTTGTACAGCGAGCCTAAATATCATATATACGTGAAATAAGTTATTTAGAGACTATGGATGGCGAGGATAAATGTAATAAAGGGATCTACAAACATTACATTGGTGACATACAGTGAGATGGTGCAGGCATGCGCTTAGGGCCCGCTTTCCAGCCAGTTTCTGTGGGGTGACGCATTCTGAGGTGAGGCAGAGCTCATCTGTGCCTCACCTCACCACACAGTAACTGGCTTGAGCGCGCTCACAAAATAAGTGCCCGCGCTAAATTAGTGCCCGTGCTCCAGCCAGTTACTGTGGGCTTACGTGAGGCAGAGCTCGTCCCTGCCTCACTCCTCATCGCTCCCATGTAGTTGTAGCGGAGCTCGGCAAATTTGCTGATTTTGACTATAAAAAGCGATTGGAATCAAACAGAAATCACACTTACAACACAGATCAGTGGAGACATTTTATTATTATTTAGTTTTTCTTTAGTTGTTTTTCCGTTACATTGTAGTATGGCCAGTCTATGAGTATGACAGGTGAGGCTCTGCCTCCCCTGCCTCCCCTGACTGCACGTCGCTGGTGGGAGCCAATGGGAGCTGAGCTCCCATAAGGAGGGGTCTGAGCTCCCACGGACGCAGTGAAATCATACATCTGTGGGGGTCGCTAATACATTACCAACAATCATTATATTAATCACAAATAATGCATGTGTCAATGTAATGAGTATTATTTACGTTAACGAGGTAAATAGGCTAAAAGAAAAACATGTTTTCCAAAAGAACTACGCATCTCTTGAATGACAATATGCCTGCACTGCACCTCCAAGGTGCGCAATACATTATTGCGCAATCTATGTCTGTGTGTGTGCTGCGCGAGCCGAGATGATGTGTGTGTGCGTAGTTGAACCTTTTCATATTTAAGTTTGTAGCAAGTAGAGGGCTGCTGCTGTGTGTGTGTGTGTGTGTGTGTGTGTGTGTGTGTGTGTGTGTGTGTGTGTGTGTGTGTGTGTGTGTGTGTGTGTGTGTGTGTGTGTGTGTGTGTGTGTACGCGTTCATTTTAAAGACCCCCATAGAGCTCAGTTTATAACTCGAACCCTGCATGCACAACTTACTTCCGGGTAAATACGTCATCCCTGCACCACTCTATATGATGTGTACAACTGCCCTTTGTAATTCTGCATGTTTAATAACTGCATTTGTCAGAAATCTTGTCACACAGGATGAAATTCATCAGGTTGGGGCTGGCTCACACTGACTGTAAATAGTGTGTGAGACCACAACAAACACACAACCCACACTGTTGGAGATCTCAGATACATTTCTGTCATTAGCTAAATTTCCATCTGCTACGAACACAGACAGCAACACGTTTAGTGGTTGTAGTTTTTTTTCATGTAAGTGTTCTCAGAGGTAAACTTGTTTCCAACACTAAAAAAAGAGGGAGAGCATTATGTCAACCTTTCTGACTTTGAGTTCCTTTTCTTTTAAAATATAACTGTTCGGTAAAATAGTTGTCTTATAATATGAAGGAAAACATATATAATCCTGAACCAATGACCATGCATAGAAAGCGGTACTATTACACTAATACTACCTGTTTTATTACCTCTTCTTCTTTATTGTTACTTCTTCATTACATTCACTCAAAACCAGTCCTGATTAACAATTTCATTAAGAATTAGAATTCCAACTTGGTTTTAGCCCTTTTCTCTTGGATTCTTCCACCTTCGTGTCATTTCAGACATGTCATATTGTCTTTCTGCCTGCAGACGGTTCGCCTTCATTATTTTCTCCATCATTTTCTTCCAGACCGCCCAAGTGCTGTGATCAACCTGACCCACCATGCAGGCCCGGGGGCTGGGGGGGGGCTGGGCCGTGTGGAGTGGCTGGTTCCTCTGGTGGTGGTCTCAGCTCTGACCCTCCTCTGCCTCACCCTCCTGCTGGCTGTGCTGCTCTACTGGAGGTAACACCATCACATATCAGCCTCTGAAGAGGGGTGTGTCTAGAGATTAGAGGGTGGATGACTGAAGGGTTGCACTTTTGATTCCGCATTTGTTTATTGGTTAGGATGGGCCTCATCCCTTTGATTCATTACATGCACTAAAAAAACTGAAACGTTGACAAAGGTAGGGTAGGTAATTCACTTCAGAAACACTTGTTGTAACGTCCCGATAGCAATGAATATATTAAATGCTTTGACAATAAATACATTAAAACGTTTCATATGTGGAAGCCGTGGCGCTGTAAAAAGCACGACCAATCATCTGAGCCGGCCCGGCTAAAATAACTGGATGGCCTAACTGCCTGTCAGCCTTCCATCTGTGCACAAACTTATCTCGTGCCCTCATTGGTCATGTGCGCGTTCGTGTGTGTTGGAGGAGGGACTCTGTGAGGAAGTCTGAAGGAAGAGGCAGATTTTTTTCGGTTGTGTACTTTCAAATTATAGCGCACTCGAGCTGGTTTCTCCATTCTTACCTACCCTACCTTTAAGTGTATTATGTCAAACAGTTCAAATTAATATTATTGCTTTCAACTAACTTAATACAGTTATGTGAAATCTGTTGACATAATACACTAAATTAAAGTCATCGTATGAGTTGAGTTTCATCTTCCAGCACTGCACAGCTTCCTGATAGGAGAGTCAATGGGACTTGTTTGATGTGAATGTGTTCTTTCAGTGATGGTGAAATATTTTTGTTTTTAGGATAATTCGTGGTTTTTAAGATTAGATTGTTACGGTGAATGAAGCAGGCAGGACCCAAATGCAGAAAAAACTGAAAATACCTTTATTTCAAGGATATGGCACACGGACAATCAGAACACTCCCCGGTGAACACAGACACAGACAAACGACGAACCAACACTGAACACAGGAAGAGACAAGACTAAATACAGGGAGGGGTAATCACAAGACGAGAAACAGCCGGGCAGGGGAGGAGAAACACAAGGGCCACAGGTGAAAACAATCAGACAACTAGACACACCAGGGAAACTAACGACGGGAGGAAAAACACAGGGAAAAGGACCAGACAATATAACAAGAGGAAAACATGACAGGGAGAACAGCAAAACACCCAAAACAAGACATACAAAACGTGACATAACACAATAATCGTAACAGAACCCCCCCCTCAAGGGACGGATTCCAGACGTCCCTAAAACACCAAAACAGTCCAATAAACGTCCAAAAAAAAAAACAATGTCCAGCAGGGTGGGTGGAGGGTGGAGGGACACAAAACTAGGGCCATCAGGGTGGGTGGAGGGGGTCAGGAGGACGGGTTTGGGCTGACAACCCAGGAGCACAGCGGAGGACCCGGAAGGGATCTCGGGCGGATGGCCCGGGGGCAAGGCAGAAGCCGAGAAGGGGGACTCGGGCGGACGGCCCGGGGGCAAGACAGAGTCCAAGGTGGGGGTTATGGAGGGGCGAAGTCAGGGGGCCGAGCATGAGGGCGAGGACCGCGGCCGGAAAAGTCAGGGGGCCGAGCATGAGGGCAAGGGCCGCGGCCGGGAAAGTCAGGGGGCCGGGCTCGAGGGCGAAGAATGCGGCTCACAGGGGGTCGGGCTCAAGGGCGAAGACCGCGGCTCTCAGGGGGCCGGGCTCGAGGACGAAGACCGCGACTCTCAGGGGGCCGGGCTCAAGGGCGAAGACCAGACAGCTCCGGAGGCTGGGCAGGAAGGCGCTGACGGAACAGCGCCGAAGGCCGGGCAGGACCCGGTGTCGGCCGGACAGGAACCGGAGCTGGTGGGACAGGCCTCGGCAGGAACCCCCACGGAAGAGGACCAGGACACGGGATTGGCAGGACCCCCGGCAGGAGAGTAGTCGGCGGGACCTCCAACGGGACTGGACATGGAGCCGGCAGGACCCCCAGCGGAACCTCCATCGGCACAGGACATAGGGTTGGCAGGACCCCCGGCAGGAGAATAGTCGGCGGGGCCTCCAACGGCACAGGACACAGGGTTGGCAGGACCCCCGGCAGAGGAGCAGTCGGCGGGACCCCCAACGGGACAGGACATAGGGTTGGCAGGACCCCCGGCAGGAGAGTAGTCGGCGGGACCCCCAACGGGACAGAACATGGAGTTGGCTGGACCCCCGGCAGAAGAGTAGTCGGCGGGGCCTCCAACGGCACAGGACACAGGGTTGGCAGGACCCCCGGCAGAGGAGCAGTCGGCGGGACCCCCAACGGGACAGGACATAGGGTTGGCAGGACCCCCGGCAGGAGAGTAGTCGACGGGACCCCCAACGGGACAAGACATGGAGTTGGCAGGACCCCCAGCGGAAGCTGACTAGAGAAGGGACTAGAGTTGGTACCTGAGAAGTGACTAGAGAAGTGACTAGAGGTGGGACTGGAGAAGGGACTAGAGAAGGGACTAGAGAAGTGACCTGAGGAGGGACTAGGGAAGGGACTAGAGAGGGAACTCGAGAAGAGACTAGAGAAGGGACAAGAGATGGGACTATGGCAGCTGGGGCAAGAGCTGGGTCTGGAACCATGGCTGCTGGGGCCGGAATTGAAGCCAGAATCATGGCTGTAAGATCCGGTTCTGGAGCCGGAAACATGGCTGTAAGGTCCGGTTCTGGAGCCGGAAATATGGCTGAAACATGGCTGAATGGGCCGGCTCTGGAGCCGGAATTGAAGCCAGAATCATGGCTGTAAGGTCCGGTTCTGGAGCCGGAAACATGGCTGTAAGGTCCGGTTCTGGAGCCGGAAAAATGGCTGAATGAGCCGGCTCTGGAGCCGGAATTGAAGCCAGAATCATGGCTGTAAGGTCCGGTTCTGGAGCCGGAAATATGGCTGTAAGGTCCGGTTCTGGAGCCGGAAACATGGCTGCTGGGGCTAGGACCGGAGCCGGAACCATGGCTGCCGGTGCTGGAATCCTGGCCTTGCGTTTCCTTCCATGCTGCCTTGAAGCCTTGTGGAGGCTCAGAGGTCCTCCAAAAGCCGACTGTTGTGTGACAGCAAATGCTGCGGCCACAAGGCATTGTGGGGCAGCATTTTCTCCTTTTCTTTCGTAAAGGAAGGTCCAGTGGTTCCTAAGCTAAAGGAGGTTATAAAGGAAGTTTTAAACCTCACAGTCTAAGTAACGGGAGGTTGCCTCTGAGTTGCAGGAGAGCTGTGCTCACTCTCCTCCCTAAGAAAGGAGACCTGCAGGAGATTAAGAACTGGCGTCCTGTGTCTCTACTCTGTACCGACTACAAGCTGCTTTCCAAAGTGACTGTAGGGATGTTTTTAAATTGTCTGCGTATGCGGATGACATAATGGTCTTTGTTAAAAAACAAGATGACATCAACGTTTTAACTGAAACTGTGAGCAATTTTTGCAAAATCTCATCTGCTCGAGTCAACTGGGGGAAAGTGAGGCCTTAGCAGGAGGCGAGGGCAGTATTGATCAACTGGGGGAAAAGTGAGGCCTTAGCAGGAGGCGAGGGCAGTATTGATCAACTGGGGAAAAGTGAGGCCTTAGCAGTAGGAGAGGGCAGTATTGACAGCTTGGTGTTACCTGGGGGCCTTGGTTGGAAAAGGGCAGGGTTAAAGTACCTGGGTATTTATCTTGGTGATGACACGTTTTGTTTGAAGAACTGGGACGGGCTTATAGAGAAAGTGGAAGGCCGGTTAAAGAAGTGGAAGTGGATCCTTCCCAAACTTTCTTTTAAAGGGAGAATCCTTATTTTAAACAACCTTGTTTCCTCCATGCTGGCTCACCGGCTGGCGTGCACCGACCCACCCGTAAACCTGCTGTCCAGGGTGCAGGCTCTCATGGTGGACTTCTTCTGGGACCGCATGCACTGGGTCCCTCAGAGCGTCCTGTTCCTGCCAAAGGAGGAGGGGGGACATGGCCTGGTTCACCTGGCAAGCAGAGGGGCGGCCTTCAGGCTCCGGTTCGTCCAGAGGTTCCTGACTGGACCTGCTGACCTGGTCTGGAGACCCGTAGCTCGGGCCTTATTGGAGCGCTGTGGTGGGCTGGGTCTGGCTGAGTCGCTGTTCCTAATGGACCTGAAAGGATTACGCCTGAACAATCTCTCGGGTTTCTATGGAGGTCTCTTCAAGGTGTGGGGACTACTCAAAAAAGAGAGACCAGAGTGCTGTGGCTCACTGTTCTGGCTCCTCAGAGAGCCGGTGGTCCGTGGATCTCGTTTTGTGTGTGGAGTAGGGCCTTCTCTACAACAGAGACTCTGTGAGGAGAGGATCCTCACGCTGGGCCAGGTGGTGGAGGTGTGTGGCCCCGGTCTGGACAACACTGCAGGCCTGGCCTAACATCTGAGCCTCAGGTCAGTCCGGGTGGTCAGCCTCCTGCTGCAGAGCTGGAGACAGCAGCTCAGCCAGTCAGAGCTGGCGCTGATCGCTGCTCACTGTAACAGACTGAAGTCTCCAAATGACAATGACTCTTTTCCAGAGATGCAATGTTTTCCTGATCTCAGTTGTGAGGGGTTTTTGTTAAAGTTGGACAATGTTTCTGATTTTAAGTTTAGCACCATGTCCAACAAAACATTTTATTATTTGGTGACAAAGGTTCTGAATCAGAGCAGACTCCAAGAGCGAGTGGACACCCGGTGGAGAGCCCACCTGGGCCTGACGGAGGCTCAGAGGCCTGAGTGGAGAGCGCTCTACAAGCCTCCGCTGACTAAGAGGGGTGGGGACCTCCAGTGGAGGGCTCTCCACGCTGCGGTAGCTGTTAATGCGTTTGTTTCAGTGATCAACCCTACAGTGTCTGACGCCTGGCCTTTCTGTGAACAGAGGGAAACCATTTTTCATTGTTTTACAGAATGTGGTCGACTCCTTTGTCTTTTTCAGTTACTCACTCAGATGTTGATTTTGTTTAATGTGTTTTCTTCTAAGTCAATGTTCATTTTGGGTTGGAGGCACAGCCAGAAGCAAAAGTGCAAAAGTCAGCTTTTGAATTTTTTGTTGGGGCAGGCTAAAATGGCCATCTACCTCAGCAGGAGGAATAAAGTTGCGGGATCTTTGGATACCGATGCAGTTTCGATTTTCAAGCGGATGGTTAAAGCAAGACTGAAAGCGGACTACGGTTACTTTTGCTTAACAAAAAATGTGGGAGAATTTGAGGCCATGTGGTTAAAAATGGTGTTCTGTGGAGAATGAGGATCTTATTTTCAGTCGTTCTCTGAACTGACAATGTGTGTCAATGTGTCTGTTTGGTTATTTGCTTTGTGAATAAAAGTGGTTTTAAAAAAAAAATTAAAAAAATAAAAATCTCTCTCTCGCTCAAGTGAGATAATAAAGAACAAAATAATAACTTATTCTCACACAACAAATGACAACTGTACACACATGTCATTTCCTGTACCAAAGTGAGAATGTAGGCCTCCTGCAACAACCTACATTGTAACAGAAAATGTCCTCTTGGGAATTCAGTTCCACAATAATAATGAAGCCTCCAGGAGCAGATGAGCTAAGGGCTAATAGCTCATCTTCAGTCTGCTGATGTTTGCTATTGCCATTTCTGTGGAGGCAAAGTCAAAAAGAAAAGAAAAAAGATAACAATTAAGGACAAGCGTGTGCTTTTTCAGCTTTTCCCCTCGGTCACAGCCTTCTCTCCATCCTTTGAGCGAATGCCTTCTTCCTGAGTCACTTCTCTCCTCCATCACAGCGGCTGTGCATATCTCTTTTGCGTTGCTGGCGGAGCCTGCGCTTGTGCTCGGTTGATGACTGTCCTCCTCCTCATTCACTTGTTCACTTTCGCTGGTAGTATTCTCCTCTGTACCTCTCTCAACATCATTCAGCTTTCTTCTTTCTTTAGCTTGCTTGCAACGTTCGTTAATCGTTCGCGGGTAGTATGGTCGCCTTTTCTTTTAAAATATTAGTTTTTCTGAATCTTTTTGGTTGAGTGCAGAGTTCTTCAGTTATATATGTTTTCTAAAATCTGGTTGCCGTCAACCCTTATTAACCAACACGTCTTCACATCTAAATGAGTTAACAGGTGACGTGCTATTGCCTTCTAAATTCATCCATATGAAAGTTTTATTATCTGGTGCCCCTAGACCACAATACCTCATACCTGAACAACAGAGCGAGATATTAACTTATGTCTTTTAATCCAAGCCATATGGCTGTCGAAAACATAAGTTGACACATATATGACACATTGATTTTTTCCACCCTAAAATGAATCCCAAAACCTACTGTGTTTTTGTGGAAACAGCCACCAGCTGGATGCAAGCAGCTAGTTTCCTCTTGTTCACGCTCTGTCCCTGGATTTGTGTTCACCCTGTTCGTGTTCTCTGAGAGAGAAGACATGTAATACCTCTTCTGCCTATTTCTTCTACATTTAAACTCCAACTTGTCTCTAAATGCCGGGTGTAGATCTCCATTTCAAAGCAGTTTCATGCCAAACACTACATTTGAGAATTGTCAAAGTCACCGTTATAGAGCAAAACACGACAGGAGGCTTCTGATGGTGTGTGTGCTGCTGAACGCTTCCCTGCATGACTTCAATCACTTTGAGCAGGCACACTGTGTGTGTGTGAAGTTCAAAGTGCATTTGTACTCTGAGGGGAGGAGGGATGTCACCTGCTAACTACCATGATGAAATCTCTCTTTTTTCACAAACAAACACACATACTGTGTACACACACACACACACACGCACACACACACCGTCAGTTAAGGTAATCACAACCACTTATGGTACACATGTTTTTTTTTTAAGAACAGTGGATGTAAACAGTCAGATCATTTGTACTGACCTCCTAGCTAAGATTATACCGCTCAGATGTGATAAACAACATCTAACTATCAATGCTTTGTGTCCCAAAGGCAATATATTTATTTCAAAGACCACCCAAGACCACAAGAGGTCAGGAAAATATCAACACAGACTATTAAAAGGTTTTGAACAAAAGACTAATGCCATTGTTTTTTTCTGGTTAGGTTTCTGATCAAACTTTTAAATATGTAATTATCCCGACAACGTTGATAAGAGGTCACAGGTTGGGACATTTCCCATGTATTAAACCAAGACGGGCAACTGGCAATGTATATACATATAAATAATAATACATATAAAGACTTCTATTTTCTCATTAGTGACACACATGTCCAGACTGCTAACCGACTCATCCATTGGAGTTTAATGTTTTACAGTACTTTCATCGTATCAAAAAAACCCTGTTTCTGTTTTTTAACAGAAACAGTGACTTTACTCATGGAAATTAAGAATTTGTTCAAATGTAACCTTTCTCTTCCTGTCAGACGCTGTTTCCAGACGGCCCACTTCTATGTGGAAGACAACGACTCCCCCAGGGTGGTCCCCATCGAAACGAACCCCGTCATCCCCATTCCAGGTAACAACCTGACACAGCACATTTATAATTCCTATGCAAAACTCGTAAGAGATTTCAGAAGTGTTATTTATTTGTTTGTTGATGTGTAACTATATGGAACATATTGTGGTAGTACAGGACATTGTGCTCTCAAGCATTACCCACTGACTGGACCTCATTTAAGGATCAAACAGGTTCACTCTGTTTCCCTCTGATATCTCGCATTGGAGAATCGGCAGTTGTAAGATATTTCTCCACAGCCCGACTACTGTAACTGCTCTCAGATACTCTGTCGTCACCGTCAATGTTGCAGGTGTTGTGGCTCAGGGCTGCTAATATGGCTGATAATAAACATTGTCATCAATAAAGAAATGTTTACTTTAATGTAATTGTGTGAACAGATTTCACATAACTCTAAAAAGCAATACAATTACATTTAAATAAAAAATATTAGGTTCAACTTAATATTACTCCTTTTAACTAACCTAATACAGTTATGTGACATTTGTTGACATAATACATTGAATTTAAAGTCAATTTTTCAGTTATTTCAGTGTAGATGATTGTTGACCAATGAGCTTTCACCTTTAAAAGCTGTCTCTCAAATATTTTCCAAGAGATTATTGACTGGTTTGGATGAACAAAGTTTACCTTGGTTTAACAACAACATCGAATGTTGAGAGTAAGTGATAATTATGTATGAATTTAGTTTTATTTTAAATGTAAGGCTAACTAAGAAAGAAAGAGAAAGATGGAGGCAGGGGGGGTGATGAATAATTACAAAGAACAGACATAAAACCTCGGCAGAGCCTGAAAGCTGCTCCAGCTGGAGCCCCCAGGTCCAGGATTTGGATCCAAACCTGTAAAATCAATTAAAGCGTGTGGGGCCTCTTCACAGTACAATGGGCCTTGGCTCAGTTCAAAGGCCTCCATTCACACCAGGGCCAGTGTGCCCAGCACGGCAGAGTCCAGACTAGACAGAGGGTCTGCCATTGGTTTTATTTTTTCCATCAGCAGGATCTGAGCCCGTTTTGGAATCAACATTATCCACTGTGGTGTGATATCGTATGATGTTGTGATGACCACTGGAAGTGTAGCTCGACGGACATTTGAGACTGAATATCAGGGACTGTGTGTGGGCATCAGAGAGGGTGCTGTCTGACCATTACATGTTACTTGTTAGACGCTTTTATCCAAAGCGACTTACATACTCAATACTGTGGGCAATCCCCACAGGAGCAATTTGGGGTGAAGTGTCTTGCCCAGGGACACAACGACATGCTGACTGCAGTGGGGTTTGAACCTGTGACCCCCTGATCCAAACACCAAGGCTCTATCCACTGCGCCACACGCCTCCCTCCCGACCATATGTTAGCTGTGTTAATTGTCTCAATAAGCTCAGACCTAGAGCCTCACACATCCCATAATCCGCTTTAAGACCTAATGCTGGATATACCTGCAGGCAGCAGCCACTTACCAGAGCACCTTCCATTAAACACACACACACACACACACACACACACACACACACACACACACACACACACACACACACACACACACACACACACACACACACACACACACACATGCTATTGTGTAAGTGACTGTACTCCACTGTCTGAAAAATATGTCAAAGCAATAAAAAGAGATTGGATCCATTCTCCTTGTAGCTAATTGGCCTTTTCAGACCCTCTGCCTAACACCCTGCCTGCTGTGTTAACTGACACACAAATCATTTTGACATAATTGCATACCTAAATGAATATCTTGCAAGACAGAGTGAGAGCGAGCGAGTGTGTGCTCTTATTAATATTTGATGAAGACTAAACTGAGGGGCACTCGGAGTTTTAGCTGTTTTTTCATCCTTTTCACTAAGCGGGCCCCAATCCTCTGGGTCCAGTTCAGCTACAGTATGCATGCTGTCAGCCACTGAAGAACGACCACTTGGCTACAGTTTGTCTGCAGCAGCTGAAACATGCACACAGTCCTGAGCTGTCCTGCTTAAAGCTCCCACAACCTACACAACATCAGAAAATGACTTATGCAAGCTTTTCTTCACTTAGTTCCATGAGAGAACATGATATGCTCATATCACTGGTCTTTATTAACATCTAGCCATCTATTTTGAGTATCTAGATCAGGGATGGGCAACTTGGATGGTGGTGGGGGCCACATAATGTATGAACTGGCCACCAGGGGGCCGCAGATTCACTTGGAACACACACACACACACACAAATTCCATGTATTGTATGTAATTATTAACAAATATACTAAGTCTGACATCTTCATTGACATTTTACAATCTTTCAGGGAACATCCTCTAATAAGCTCACTAAACAAATACCAGTTCACAGAAATGTTATTTAATTACAAGTGGCATGTTTGTATTGAACAGGTTATTTAACAGTGGAATAAAACTATTTTAAACTCGGAAAGCACGGAAAGTGTGTGTGCATTAAGATTAACCATTAAGATGACATAAACATCAAGTCATGAACACTAACCCAGACATGAACCTAAGACCCTTATAGCCTGTCTCTGCTGGCGCACAATAAGGGGAATGTCAACAAAGACACCTGTCTGTTCCTCAGCGCTGCCCCCCCCCCCCTCCTGCTGAAATTATGAATGAAAAGTGTAGATTAATCATAGATAACACGGCAGGGTCCGTGACAGTTTGTTTTCAAATAAACAAAGTCTTGGTTTTTAGAATATTAAACTTGGTTCGCCAAATTCAGATGATAAATACAACTTTGAAGCTTGTAACGGCATAATTACAAGCGGCAATTTAACGTCTCAGCAGGCATAACAACAGCTGGTGTTTCTTGTGAGTATTTCCGGGAAGCAATACACACAAACGCGTCACAGATTATATCGCGGTATTTGGCTGCCGAACGAAATCATGCACGCAGCTTGCGACGTAACTAGGAGTCTAGTGGATGGTATCAGTACTACAAGTAAAAAACAATATATATATATTTATTTTTTTCATTAATTACGTTGTTTATAAATTAATCTGAAGGCCGCAAAAAGAGGAGGTGCCGGGCCGCCATTTGCCCATCCCTGATCTAGGGTAATAAATAAACATACGACAAGGACAACTTTGTATCTCTTTGTGGTTTAGTTGTTCTAAAACAACATGTGTTGCAGGCATACATCACTCCCAGAAGATTTGATAAGGACTTCCATCTTGACCTTGGTAACCATAGGTGGGAAGTAACTAAGTAATGATGTGAAATCTAATCAAGTGTTAAATCAGACTTTAGTTCCACCTGGAGTAAATCCACCAGCTACCCTGCAGTATACAAAGTCATTCAAACTAGCTGCACCTTTACCAGCTTTGAGAACACTTTCATGATCAATCATTATAAAACATATCATATATATTATTCTGAAATGGACTAATCTGCACAACGACTACTTTTACTGTCGCTACTTTCACTATATTTTGATGATAATACTTTTGTACTTTTACTTGAGGAACATTTTGAATGCAGGACTTTTACTGTAATAGAGTATTCCTACACTCTGGTACTTCTCCTTTTACTCAAGTACAAGATCTGAGTACTTCTTCAACCTTTGTTGGTAATTTAACAGATGGAGATTTCACGGTTGAAATGACATTGTAGTTTTATTTCGTCCCTACTGACCGCCAGAGGCGGTGCTTTAGCACTGGATATATCCATCGCACGCATGCACAGTTCGAATACCTAATAACATAAAAGTCACCTGTGACCCACGTGACACCGGCTACATAGGCCGGCGTCATTAGCGGATCGGCTCCTTTTCATCTTCTCGCTTCGCGAGAGTACCGTGGTTGCATTTTTGTAACCTAAAAGCGTTCGTTGGAATGTTAGATCTAAGGATTTCCCCGCTTACAGCCGGCTGAGTGCAGTTTCGCGACTATTCCAGTCGGGGCTACGGGCTACCGGCTACCTGTCCCCCAGGAGCTGTGGCCGGTTACGCGGAAAACTTCGACGGACAGGTTGGTGTCGGCTTGGTTAACAACTCTTTTTATTTGGTTCTTTTATTTGGGGTTAAGTACATTGTCAGAATAAGTGAGGAATGAATTTAACTTCTGTTAGACAGCCATATGCCATACATTTTTGCATACATTCACAGTAAATATGTATTCAGTATGATAGCTGTCTAACAGAAGTTAAATCCATTTCTCACTTATTCTGACAATGTACTTAACCCCAAATAAAAGAACCCAATAAAAAGAGTTGTTAAATAATAGTGAAGTCACGTTGTAATAACAATAACTCATCTCTCTCGAGTTTTCTTTTTGAGCTTTGCTAAAAGCCACTGTGTCAAGTGTCCATCTTGGGTTGCCGTCCGGAGTTGTCCAATATGGCGGACCATCTCGCACATGCACTGTACCGATCGGGCAGGGGGACGGATCCGGTAGTGACAGCCCTTGCTGTGCTATTTTGTACTTCTGCTGACCGTGGCGTTGTGCCAAGCTATCATTAGCATTTTGAGTTTCCAGCTTTAGCTGTGTTTCCTTGTTAATTAGTTAGCAGTAGCGTGGCTCAGCCTATACGTGTCCTGGCGCGCAGCCACTTGGCTGACGCCGGAATAAACCGGGATTATCCGTGCTGTCTTGTTTGCTATTTTGCTTAAACTTTTTTCTTGTTGAAGGCAGCGTTTCCGCTCCCTCTCCCAGGAGTTGCCCTTGCTGTGCTATTTTGTACTGTTTCTGACCGCGGCGTTGTGCCGAGCTATTATTAGCATTTTTGAGTTTCCAGTTTAGCTGTGTTTCCTCGGTTAACTAGTTAGCAGTAGCGTGGCTCAGCCTAACCGTGTCCTGTCGCGCAGCCACTTATGGCACATTTCCACTGCAGCGGGGTAGCCCCGTTTAAGCGTCCCTAAGCGTCCTCGCTCAGGCCTCGGGCTGCCTCGCTGGCCGTCCGAGGCCGTGGCGCATTTCCATTACAGTTTAGGACCTGGGGTAGCAACGCAGTGTAGGCGGGGCATCTGTGCAGAGACATCCTGGAACACTTTCACATTTCGAGTTGTTCCGTCGGATTTTATCATCCCCAATGAGATTTAGGAACGTCAAAAAATGTTGTGTATAAAAATGCTGCAAGCTTGCTTCTAGTTATATATGCGTTATATATTTTTTTACCACTAAAATACAGCAACCCATCTTTGATTCATGTTGTTTTTAACTGGACTATTACAATTATTATTAATTATGTCTGTAGTCTACAACACAACAAAATAGGAAATAACAATAATAAACACGATTTAAACAGACACAAAAATAAACCATTTAACTACGTAGCCTACTTACTTTCTTGTAGAAGTACAAATGTCCAGGAAATATGCCCAAATCAACAAGAACTGCGAGCCGGCATGCACGACGCTCCGCTTCCGTAATGCTTCTGAAACGCTTGTGAAACGCGCCCGGTAGGGTATGACGCCAGAGGAGGCCGGACCAAAACCGTTTTTAGAGAACGTTATCCTACCTTTCAGAAGTACATTCTAGGAACCACAATAAAACTTCTCGAAACCATTCCTAGAACAATGAATGGTAACATTCTCAGAATATTTTTAGAACCCAACAATGTCTAACTGGGAACTGTTAGAAATTAAAATCAATGTTTTGATAGCATAATGTACCCTAAACATACCTTCAGTTTAAATGCTGTTTTATACTGAAAAACCAGAAGTTCTTGTGCACAACCAGTTGTTAAGCTTTTATTCTGAAAATCCTTCATGACGACATCCGGGACTACCGCCCATTAGTATCATTAAAGTGGCTATTGACGCCGTTAACATGTATTACACATAAAGTTATGAAAGAGATAAGGAGGAGAAAAGGCATGTGGAAGTAAGCAATGAATGTAAAATGTCGAAATCCTCTGTTTAACGCGATATCGGACACAGGAGAACGAGAGGGGGAAGTCCCTTACGTCACTACAGCTCACAGAGAGGAGGAGCGAACAGCGAGCAAGCGGGAAGGACGAATGCTTGTAAGCTCTCTTCTGCACGGCCGGGACTTGGGAGAGGAAGCTTCAGACTTTCTCTCCTGTCGAACCATATCCTGTTTGTGACTTTACCGCGCCTTTTTTATTAATTAAAGTACCAATTTTGAACCTTCTCAGAGACTCCATTTAGTCTCCTTTTTAAGCTTCTCTTTCCTGGACGCTGAGAATAAGAACACAGTTAACAGAACTCAAACATGCCTACGCAAACGTGCAATATCATGAATTACGTGCTTGCTTTTTTCTAAAAACGAAAATGTGGTGACATCAGATTTATTTTCAAACAAATGCAGCAAGTTTGTTTTTTAAAGCGCACTACAAATAAATCTGACGTTGACCATGACCCTGTTAATATTTCGCATCACAGGAACATTTTATAAAAAAATAATAACCTCCTGAAAACATTATCCAAATGTTGCTTTCAAAATGTTCTTCTTTGGTTATCATGTAACATTGAGGGACCGTTTTATAAAGAACATCTTTAATGTGTTACCCCAACAACGTCCAAAACTCATCCTTAGAATGTTGGAGGCAAAACGTTCCACCTTTGTTAACATATCACATTAAAGGAACGTTTTATAAAACACTTTGTCATCTCAGGCCTCAATAACATCCTGAAAACATTTTCAGAATGTTGCTTGGAGAATGTTCTTTATTTGTCATCATGTAACATTGAGGGAACGCTTTATAAAGAACATCTTTAATGTGTTACCCCAACAACGTCCAAAACACATCCTTAGAATGTTGCAAGGAAAACGTTCCACCTTTGTTAACATATCACATTAAAGGAACATTTTATAAAACACTTTCTGTCATCTCAGGCCTCAATAACATCCTCAAAACATCCTCTGAATGTTGCAGTTAAAACGTTATGTCTTAGTTTTTAAACTTTAAACCTTATAGGAACATTATTTGAAAAAATAAACATCCTAAAAATGTTCTTTGAAAATCAGATTAAAATGTTTCTTTAAAACCTTATTAGAACCAATAGGTAATGTTAGCCAAAGTTGTGAGAACGTTCCCCGCTAGCTGGGATGTGCTTGTTCGTTCTGACAACATGTCCGCTGTTGCCCATATCAATCACCAAGGGGGCACCAGGTCCGTTCAGCTGCTCCGGCTTTCACAGAACCTCTTGTCTTGGGCATCTACCCGCCTGACCAGTCTGCGGGCAGCCTTTTTACCAGGACACCGAAATCAGGTTGCGGATTTCCTCTCTCGGCACAAACCTCCACCGGGGGAGTGGAGGCTTCATCCAGAGGTGGTGGAGTCAATTTGGAACCTTTTTGGCAGGGCCGAGGTGGACCTCTTCGCCACGGAAGAATTGAGGCACTGCCCCCTCTGGTTCTCATGGACCAGCCCGATGGGGCAGGACGCTCTGGGCACTTGTAAGCAAATCTCATGCAGGAAAAGCTTCAACGTCCAGGCGGGATTATCCATTTGTTTATTTTGTAGTATTCCAATAATACAAAACATAAAGCACGATGGTTTCCCCTGTGGCTTTCCTATGTTTATCTCTAGTAAAAAAACATATGCTCAATCTGGTGCACCAATCACCACCACCTGTCGCCACCTTCAAAATAAAAGCATAAAGAAATACTTGAATTAGCTAAAATAATAACAATAAATTATAAAAATGTAATATAAACAAAAACAGCTAGAAAATAAATGTTTATTTACTAAATGAAATAATTCTATGTATAGTTCCAACACTACTGCATTGTAAAATTATAACTATAAACTTTGACATTTGAACATCTACATTATGAGTTCATGGCAACTAAATAACCTAGTTGACAATATACTCTCTCCTACGTCTGCTGTACTCACTGGGCTGGTGTTGGTCCTTGCATCAGAAAGGAGGAACATGGCATTTTTCTACAAATATCACATTTCTCCCAAACATCAGTTTCTTAATTAGTTTGAAAATATGTCATTGATTGGTGTAACACTTTAAATGATTTAAATGGTTTAGTATGGAGCTATATCAGGGTCATACGTTTTGATCATTAAAAACAAGTTCAAGTTTTTATCCTGAACTTTGAAAAATACAATGATGTATTCAAAATAAAAATAAGTATTTGAAATAATTTTTCAGGTTGAATATTATTTTTGATTCAGTTCAGCAATATTTTTTGAATAAAATATTTATTTTCAGTTTCAAATCTTGTTTTTTCAGGTTTCACATTTGTTTTCGCCTTCAGATCGTTTTTCGCTTTCAGATCGGTTTTTTTCCGCTTTCAGACTTTTCGCCCTGATGTTGCTTGGGGGGGGGGGCTTACCAAAGAGTAGTTTGGCATCCTGAGTGATAGCCTATGGTGACAGCCCTCCCTCTGTCATGTTATTCATGGATGTAAGGTAGTGTGGGTGTTGAGAGATGTATCCATAGATCTCTTAATGTCGCTCTCAAAGTGCACCAGATTGATGCTTTTAACTTCAACATTTAAAAAAAAAAAATCCCGAGGATGTAAGGTCAACCCCCCACTTAAATCATGTCCACATGGATAAGAAACTAAATACATTTGCACACATCTTGTGTGTCTATCTTTCTGTTTTGTTGGTCATGCCACAACCGTGCACGTGCATGCGTACGCGAGTCATGCTGAGATATCTGGATTAAGAGGTTGCTTTTTCTTTGCACAGCATGAAAGAAAGGCCAAATGAATGGGCTGTGATTTTAGTTTTTTTAAGCAGAGGTTGAGTTCAATCATTTGTACGACCCTCGGAGGATGTTGTAAAAATGTAAATGGCCCTTGAGAGGAAAAGGTTCCCCACCCCTGCTGTAAATAATAATAAAAACCCTTGATTTATAACTTAACATCTCTGTCTCCTATTGATCAGAGTATATTATAAAGAATAGCCAGTTAATTGAAGCATTATAGCTCAGGCCTTTGTCAGATGGTATATTACGCAGTTTTTTTTCTACTTCGAATAGTTCTCTCTTTTTTCACCATACGTGTGTTTGCATCCCTGGAAAATAAAACAATAGTCTGCCACTGCCTTAGTTACGAAATACTATACCTTTATTTGCTAAAGGCGTGCTGCTCTGTTTCTGTAATTCACTATTCCATAAAAAAATGGTCCAGTCCCATCGTTGGGGGGCGCATTGTGACTTCAGAGGAAGTGGCTGCTCTTGTGTAGCTGGTTTAACCCTGCCTCTTCTCTTCAGATGACATGGAGGCCATTCCAGTCAAGCAGTTCATCAAACACATCTCTGAACTCTACTCCAATAACCAACACGGATTCTCGGAAGATTTCGAGGTAAGCAGTAAAGTCACGTTACAAGTCTTACACTTGCAATCTGTATTTGCCCAAGCTCTTCATTTCTTGTTTCAGACTAAACCAGTTATTCAGTACATTTGAAACACACAAGAACACACACACTATCAGATGCTGATGGCAAGACTTTGATAAACTTGTGAAATTGGTTGCCGCCACCACTGATCCTGAAAGTAGAGATTTGAAGATAATGAAGACTAGCCGATTGATTATTGAAGAGAAATCTAGGAGTATAAGTGATGGACAATTCCGTTTTCTTCATCCTCCATTTGGTTCCTGTTTTTACTTCAATCTCTCTGCAGTGCTGGGTTGCGGTCGGATAATCCAAAAATCAGCTCCTAACGTCTAACCCTATCTCCTATTCCTTGACCTCTGAGGGAAACGTCACGGGGTTAAGGGATAGTGGATAGGAGAATCCAAAAGGACTTAGGAGAAGAGACTGCGGTACTTTAGTTTAGAGAATCCGACTGCACTTTCACTATCCGACGTGTTTATGATGCGCCAGCGGACGTTATGAATGTGCGTCTGCTGCTGTGGGGAAACTATGGAAACAGGGGGTTACGTATTGTAACCCTAGTTATATAAGCACAGGCAGAGCCCTCTACTGGGTACTACTCTCTATCATGCTGTGCGTGCTTTCACCTACTGAGTTTACGTAAACGTAGCCGGCCAATCGGGGCGAGCCTACCTAAATGCGTGCGCAGGCCCACAGTATATAAAGGCGGCTACACCCGCCGCCCACTATCCTATACACTCTTCAGCGAGCGGACTAGGAAAGACAGGGCCCCCAGGTATAGGGCTCCGCCTGTGCTTATATAACTAGGGTTACAATACGTAACCCCCTGTTATATTTCACACAGGCTCCGCCCTCTACTGGACTCCATGGGTACAGTGGGCGGAGCCCCGATGTATACACGCCCTGTCATCCAACACCAAGACGCCGACGTGCATATATCTTCTACACTCACGCTGCTGAATACGGCTGTTTGACACAGCCACAGCCCGTTTAGAATGCGCACGGACCCCTTGGGGTCAACAGGCAAGGTGGACTCCGCCTTGCCTGTTGATGTACGCCACTGTGGTGCGGTTGTCGCTCCTCACTAGCACATGTTTGCCCTGTATTAAGGGTTTGAAGTGCTGTAGGACCAGCATCACTGCTTGCAGCTCCAGGAGGTTGCTGTGCCGAGCCTCTGTCAGAGGCCAGCAACCACCTACAGCTCTCTCTAGACACGTCCCCCCCCATCCTGTCACTGAAGCATCTGTAAAGACTGTGATATAGGAGGTCACTTGCCCCAGTGGAACTCTCCTCCGCAGATTCTCTGGGGACCCCCAGAATCGGAGGTTGCTCTCTACTGAGGGGGGGATGATCACCAGAAGTCGTTTGTGTCTTGAGATCTAAACGAAGGCCGGTAAGCCACCTCTGTATGCGACGTGCATGCAGGAGTCCGAGTGGCACTACGGCGTGAGCAGCCGTCATGAGACCCAAAGTCTGCATGATGATCAAAGCTGTCACCGTCGCCCCCTGACACAGCCTGCAGACTGCCGCAGCAGGGATGCCTGTCTGCTTTCTGTGAGGGTGGCACGTAGTCTGCCTGCATCGAGCATCACCCACAGATATTCTACCTGCTGGTGAGGTATGGGGGAGCTCTTCTTCCAATTGACCGCAACTCTTTTTCAACCCAACTTGGTTAGGTGTAGGATCAATTGGCTGTGTGAAACATTGCCCATTCCCTGGACCTGGCCATGACTATGAGGTCCCGCAGCAGTTGCAGCGCCGTAGCGTACGTGGGGATAGGGAGTAGCCGAACGTCAGTCTGTTGTACTCGTAGGCTACCCCCTGGAAGGCAAAACGCAAATACTTTCTGTGTTTTGGAGCAATTTCGCCATGAAAGTAAGCGTTCTTCAGGTCGATGGTTGTGAACCAATCGCCTGGCTGCACCAATCCCAGTAACTGTTTCATAGTTAACATATGGAACTTATTGCATGCAATGTGCTGGTGCAGGCATTTGAAGATCCAGAATGGGCCTGAATTCTCCTGTCTTCTTGGGAACCAGGAAGTACAGGGAATAGTGCCCCTTCTCTCTGACTTGAAAGTGCACATGCCGAGAGGAAACCTATTTCCTCCTGGGATGACAGATTTGCCTCTCTCATGCCTCTGAACGTAAATAACCCAGTCTCAGTGTCCTGTCCGTCCGCCCTGTTAATACACCACTGATTTTCCAATCATGTGCAATCAGCTGCGGAGCCGCAGCTATGAGGCTGTGGTACTCTCTGGTGGCCCACTCCGCCGTCAAACCCTCCATAAAAGGAAGTTTGACCCATGGGGGGCTGACACAGAAAGGGCCGTTTTTCTATAATGCAGTTTTCACTCAGAGAACAAAACGGCCGATTTTTCACTGAGGTCCCTGAACACACCACGGCACGCACCGTGAGAGCGCGCGCTCCGCCATAATGCTGTTTTCTCTCAGAGAGAAAGAGGCATTAATCTGAGCTTCTTCTGTCCATGAACGCACCGCGGCCCACTCTCGGGGGGGTCGTCATAATGCCGTCTCTTTGAAACGGACATTATGGGAAAATGTGGAATTGTGGAGAGCGATGACTCTTGCTCTGGGATAAATGCCATAGTCTTTACTAAATGCATTTTTCACACACACACATCACTCTAGAACTAGGGTTACAATACGTAACCCACCGTTCATGCAACAGGGCCTCTTTTCGACTTCAAAGGAAACCTATCTCCTCCCAGGATGATAGATTTGACTCTCTATTGCCCCTGAATGGAGGAGGGACGCTGCAAAGCTTGAGTGAGTAACCCAGTCTCAGTGTCCTGCCCCTCTACTCTGCTTCCATTCCCCACAAAACTGTGTTCAGGGGACATGCCAGCAGCTGTGGAGCCAAAGCTAAGAAGCTGTAGTATTCTCTGGTGGCCTACTCCGCTGCCAAACCTTTCCATAAGAAGGGAGTTTTGGCATGGGGGCTGACACAGAAAAGGGCCGATTTTCTACTGAGGTCCTTGAACGCACCGCGGAACGCTCCCGTGGGGCCGCGGCTCTGTCCTAATGCCGTCCCTTTGAAACGGACATTATGGTGAAAAGTGGAAATGTGGAGAGAGATGACTCTTGCTCTGGGATACATGCAATCGTTTTCACTGAATGCGTTTATCACACACACATCACTCTCTCTTGAACCCGCACAGTGTTTTGACAGCACTTCGGTTTATTCCACTCACGTGCACGCGCCCACCTGCTGGCTCCTATACTGGAGTTTACAGAGGGGGGGGGTCAGAGGGCCTAGGTATAAGGCTTGGCACTGTCACTTACATTACATGACAAGCAGGATAACATGTTTTAAAATGAATGAATGTTTATTTATTAAAAAACATATAGGCGATTCTAAAAATGAATAAAACCTGATTCAAGTTACCTCAGAAGGCAGAACATAAAAACGGAATTTATGAATATAGAATATATCTCAACAAAACAACACTAGTACCATTGATGATTCCTAAAGTGTAAAAAGGAAAAGGAATAAAACACATTATCTGTTTGTGTAAATGATCCCTTCTTGCCTCACATGACCAATAGTACACTTGGCTTTTCACAAAAAAGTCTGAAGCGCAGGTAGCAGCCCCTAGAGATTTAGATATAGGAATATCTTGAGTAAAAATAGTAAAGTGATGCTCATTCAAAAAATTAAGCATTTGACATCCACAGTATATTTTCAAAAATGCAACAAATGTAGGATACCTTGCAAACCACAAATTACAGACTGTATCAGAATGACAAAGCGGTGTGTGTGTTTGTGTGTGTGTGTGTGCGTGTGCGTGCGTGTGTCCTTGTCCAGGAGGTTCAACGGTGCACTGCGGATATGAAGCTCACGTCAGAGCACTCCAACCACCCCGACAACAAGCACAAGAACAGATATATCAACATAATAGCCTGTGAGTACACACTTCAACACACCATAATGTATACCATGTTCTATGTTCTTGATATAATACACACATATCCTATAATTCAATCTGCTGAAATAAATATAAGACACTTTTAATTTAAGTGTAGTAAGCTGTGAAGAGATCTCAGACTCAGCCAGTCCACAAATCTGACAGACTCTTCTCATTATTTCCCATATGTTTCATACATTAACCAGGGAGATGAAAATCATATTCAGCTCTGAAATGATAGTCAAACGCATTTCATCCAAGTGGTAACTAATGTTGCAACCAGTTCCACCCAGTTTATTATATTTGCTAGTTTTTATTTAACATTTGTTGAAACATTTAGTACATGTGTTAATGGTTAACCAGACCAACAAACTACCACAAACCCTGCTGTGCTAAAACGCCACACAGGCCGATGAATACTTGATTCTGTAATAAATATTTCACATGTCTCATACAAGCATCAGGGTGAGATAGCAGCTCAGTCTTATGTTTATCAGGGTGCATGCTGGGAGCTAAAGGCAGTCCCATGCTGTTTAAAAGTCTGTAAAAGCTAAACCACAGACCAGAGTGTGTACCACAGAGGTGAATGTGCTTCCTGGTTGGCAGCAGGTGACTTGGAAGGGTCCCAACATGACATGGAGAGATGTATGTGTGAGCTCATTCACACAAATACACTCACTGTGTATGTGTGTGTGTGTGTGTGTGTGTGTGTGTGTGTGTGTGTGTGTGTGTGTGTGTGTGTGTGTGTGTGTGTGTGTGTGTGGTGTGTGTGTGTGTGTGTGTGTGTGTGTGTGGTGTGTGTGTGTGTGTGTGTGTGTGTGTGTGTGTGTGTGAACCGCTCTGTTTCCTCCTCAGACGACCACAGCAGGGTGAAGCTGAGGCCGCTGGCTGGGAAGGACTCCAAACACTCAGACTACATCAACGCTAACTATGTGGATGTGAGTACTTCCACTGGGCCTCCAACACTGATCTGTGTGTGTGTGTGTGTGTGTGTGTGTGTGTGTGTGTGTGTGTGTGTGTGTGTGTGTGTGTGTGTGTGTGTGTGTGTGTGTGAGTGCGTGTGCATGTGCGTGTGCATGTGTGTGTGTGTGTGTGAGTGTGTGTGTGTGGAGAAATCATTTTGGAGATGATGGCGCAAGAGCAGAATCAAGACTCCATAGATATATCTTAGATATAATCTCCAGTTTCAGACTGTAATGATGAATTATGTCGTTTGTTATTCATCCATTAGGGTTTTAACAAGCCTAAAGCTTACATCGCTGCCCAGGGACCCCTCAAGTCCACCTTTGACGACTTCTGGCGGATGGTGTGGGAGCAAAATACCGGCGTCATTGTCATGATCACCAACTTAGTGGAGAAAGGCCGGGTACGCTCTGAATCTCACACAGACTCAATGTATATGTGTGTGTTTATAGGGAGGTTTAAAAAAAAAAATCATAACTTGTCAAAAGCTCCCCCCCCCCATTACACAGTGATTACACTAAATGGAAAGACAAAAGAAAGCATTATTCCCTGCTGCTCGGGCTCAGGATAAATGAGTTTCTCACTGCAGTCATTTGGACTTCAAAACACATTGTAACTAACACAATCAAACAACAATTAGGGCTAATTATAGATTAGCCAATTCCATGGTTCTGGTGTACTTGCTCACAAAGGCAACACAGGGGTTCATACATCAGGGCAGCTTAATAATATGTTTACTCAGTCTCATGTTTTCTTTATATCTCAGTTTCATTATACAGACATATTCTCATTTTAGACAACAGTTTTTCCATTTTAATTTTCATGTACAGTAGCTGTATCTACAGAGCCAAATATAGAAGGAAAACAAGAAAGAAAAATAGTACATAAAGAAATCAATAAAAATGTTCTCAATCTCATGTTTGTTCTTTTTTGGATGTGTGAAAAAACATTTCCACAGAAACGTGTTACACTGACAGAATTGTAATGCACATGCACTATTTATCTGATTCATGTGTGTGTGTTTGTTCTACAGAGAAAATGTGAACAGTACTGGCCGACAGAGAACAGTGAAGAGTACGGCAACATGCTGGTGACTCTGAAGAGCTCTAAAGTTCACGCCTGCTATACGGTGCGCCGCTTCACTCTTCGGAACACTAAAGTCAAAAAGGTGAGAGTGAGAGGGAAGAAGTGACACAGGCAGCATGTGTTGGGGGGTGCTAGTCACAGAACACAGAGAGCCTGGTGGGGTCTGTTTATTCCTCTCTGCAAATCTAAAGCTGTTCTGCTGCTACAGGGCAGAATATTGTTTTATTCAAAGAATAACGTCTCTAATGAAGCTCCTGTAATGTGTCGACAAACCAGAAACATGAAGCTGGTGTGGCTCAGGTAACAGTGTCACCAGAAATTTTTTTTTGGGGGTGCTGTTGGGTAGCTTGACATTTCATAGAGGCAGTGGCGGCGCCAGGGGGGCGCTAGAGGGTGCTGAAGCATCCCCCAGGATAGCCATAGCACCCCCTAAGCACCCCCAAGAAATGTGTGTCTTTTTTTGTATGTGTGAAATTCATAATTTGAAAAAGGATTGATTAGAAAGTAATATGCTACAGTACAGTACAAGTAGCCTACTTCTGGGTCTCTGTGTTTCATTCAAGCTCTGCTCTGTGTGTGCGTGGCATGAGCCATTTTGTGCACGAGCGTGCGAGAGAGAGCGGGCGCACCGGTGGGTATCTATCGGAGATCGTTGTGGTTAGCATCTAGTGCTAGCTACGCTAACGGATATAACAAGCTTTTTCAACAACAAGGTGGAGGGAGAACGGGCTGTATTCTTGTTTTACTGTCATATAGTATTTCATACCTGTTTTTTATTTAAGCTCTTGTTTTTTTATACCTATAATGATCATATATTTGCCTCAGAAATACTTATTTACATTAATCGTGACCAAACCGTTTGAGACCCACTGAGATAACTAGACTAAAGTTAACTATCTAAACACTGAGAGTCCTTTACTTCACCTGAGCTGAGGTTATCTGAGACTCTCAGTCTGACAGTAGAGAGTTCTCCCTCCACCTTGTTGTTGAAAAAGCTCCTTGTATCCGTTAGCTTGGCTAGCTAGCACCAGATTCTAACCACAACGATCTCCGGTACCGGTGCGCGCTCTCTCTCTTTTTATAGAGATTTTATAGGGATGCACGATATTGTTTTTTTGAAACCGATACCGATAACTTCCTGCTTCTCAAGACCGATACCGATAACCGATAATACAAAAAATGTTACGCCACTAATTATTTTAACGCGATTAACGCATGTGTATTTTTTTTTCTCGGCCGCCCCGTAGTTTCAGAGCGCATCGAGTTTAAAATACCATCTACAAGCTGATGCTGACAGCCCCGCTCCTGCCGCCCGCTTGTGGCAGACCACACTTCCACGCTCACCGGCAGGCACCGACTGGCCATCTGGAGGACCGGGAGGGTGTGTGTATGTGTGGCCCGAGCGAGCGAGAGAGAGACCTTACGTGCATTGTTGTTGTTAGCATCTGGTGCTAGCTAGCTGCGCTAACGGATATAAGGAGCTGTTTAAATGAAAACAGAGGAGCGACATTTCGCCACAACTGCGCCGAGCACTTGACTTTATGCAGGAAGCCAGACAGTGGGACATTGTACGAAAAGTCAGCACACTCAGCACGGATAGTGCGCAACATGATTGCAGCGTCCAGGCAGCTCCGGTTCGAGCATATGCCTTGAGTTGCACATAGCTCCAACGCCCATACCACCGACGACATGTTTGTTTACTGTCCTGGCTTCACGGCCGCACACCATTTACGTCACAGCCAGGCATGAGTTAGGGAGCGCTGGATTTGTGAAAAACTCCCCTCTTCCTAAACCACTAATACCACAGTACTGGCAAAACGGGAGGAGCCGAGTGAAAAACATCACATTCACCAGCCGTGAATACATCTACGTGACGGTTTTGAGATTTCTTCAAATGCAGTTGCCATGGCAACATAATGCTCGCTATGAAACACGCTTTTCTCATAACTTCAGTGAAAATGCTCCAAACGGCCCAAAACTTCACAGGTTTGGTAACGATGAAGCCATCAACACATCTAAGTGTATTATGGAGTGTCATCAAATACTGTTGCCATGGTGACAGATCATTCGCCAAAAGTTTGCAGTTCAAATATTCTGCTGCTTTTCCAATCCTTTTTACTTTCTTTTCTTCTCTTATCACACATTCAAGCCCCCAGTGTTCATGTATCATTTCAATCTAAATTCTTCACTTTCTTCTTACACATTACATTTCAGCATAGCAGTTCAGCATTATCTTTTCAGCATAAAGCATTCCCACAGGCATTGCATTCTCTATAGTTCCATCCTATTGTACATACTTTATTATTCCTGCATTTGACTTGCCCCATTTTAATTGCACTCTTTATTTCTTTATATCCTAAGTAAATCCTATCTTGCGCTGTATGCAAGACGTTTACTGCCAAAACTATGCTGTAGTTTGTTCATAGGCTAGTGAAACCTTTACCTATTTTAATTTACTTTAAAAGGACTTCCGGTGAGGGCAGCGCCATGTAGAGACGGAGTTTTGTTGAGCTCCTCATGAGAACGACTAATGTCAGAATATTGCTCTTTTAAAACCACTTGAACGGACTCCAAGCGACTTGATACGCAAGTTATATCCATAGCCAGACGATTGCTGAGTAAATATGCCAAACAATCGCCAGGGAAACAACAAGTTGGGGCCGGCGGCGGAGGCTAGCACTAATGCTAACCTGGCAGACGACGCAGACATCAACGACCAACACGTGGTACTTAACGCTATTGCGTCTCTTAAACAGGACCTGGTGGCGAAAATTGAAGAAAAGGCCATAGCCCAATCGGCGGAACTCAAAATACAGACTACCCAGATTCGGACGGAATTAAGAAGTGTGGTGGAACAAGTCAACAAAAGAATTGAAGTAACTGAGGGCCGAGTATCTGAGCTGGAGGCTGAGGTTAGCAACCACTCGGACTCAATCACCTGCATGACATCAGATGTTACTGATATGAAAAAAGAACTGGCCACGCTGAGGGACTGTTGCGAGGATTTGGAGGCAAGATCACGTGGCTGTAATATCCGCATTATAGGAGTGAAGGAAGGACGGGAGCATGGGAAGCACCCATCTCAGTTTGTGGCTGATATGCTAAAAGTTTCCCTTAGTCTCGACAAGCCCCCGACCCTGGACCGGGCGCACCGCGCTCTCTGCAGCAGAACGACACAAGACGGGCTCCCACCGCGGGCTTTTATTGTGAAATTCCACTATCTCTCCGAAAAAGAATCGCTGCTAAAGAAAGCAATAGAGATGAAATCAGTGACGACCCCGACGGTAACAGGCGGTGAGTAAACAGCGGGCAGCCTTTACCAAGGTGAGAGGGCTGCTGCGAGGGAGTGCGCTACGGCCTGAAATACCCTGCCATACTGATGATCACAACATCGGGGGGCCACGAGGCAAGTTTCAGCGATTCAAAACTGGCAAAGGAGTTAGTTCTTAACAAGGTGGTGCGCAAGGCTTCATAATGGACATGTTCTGGTGAGTATTGGCCAAGGGCTAAAATTCCAGCTCCATATGCTGTAGATGGAGACGAGAAACAACTCGGCCGGACAATATTATTTTTCTCCATATCTAGAATTCTCAGGATTTCCCATTTGATAACGTATATTTTTTCTTTATTATTCTTGCTGGGAAAAAAATTGAGGCAAGCTACGCCACGGACAACAATATCATCGTGTAACCATATGGGACATGTTGGAGCACCACCCAATGGCGGTGGTGGAAGGTTCACCTCTGCTCCGCGCCGTCCCTTGATCAGTGGTCTGCTATAAGAAGAAGGACTCAGACACCGAGATATGAGCTGAGTTTACTGGTAAAAGGCAACAGTACAGAAATACGTACAAAATACAGAGTACCCCGGACTCAAGTTCTACCACCGTGCGATATACGTATCACTACAGCCAGTCAGAAGAAGAGTGTCCAGTATTGAAATGTTACAGTATTTATACACATAAGTGGGGAGGAGTTGTATTGTTTGCCCCTCCCTTCATATCTTCTAATTCGTTGTTCACTCCTGGGCGACCCCCAAGCAGTGAGTCAGCTGGTGTGGATTTCGTCTGGTCCGTCCCCTCTCTTTACAGTGTGTGTGTGCAAGTATGACGTCTCTTCCAAAGAGCACGTCCTGTTCTGAGTGAAACAGTCTCTCTTATCAAAGAGAGCTACCCCACTACCCCAGCAGCCAAACAGTAGCAACAATCATACAGCATATATGCAATGAGCACACATCATTTATGGAATCTCATGTGATCTCTAAATGAATATAGAAATACGCTGTATTAAACTTTTTAATATAACACTATAGCTGGAAACTGTGAACACCTTTAGACATTAACGTTTTATTTTATTGAGTCATAACATGTTCAGGGCTGTTACATTACCTAGCTGATATTTCAAACTAGGATGTCGCTATATTCAGCATTGCCTGGTCAGCTGAAGAGAAGGAGCTATATTGAGTTAATTGTTCAGTTCTCATGGGGGGCTCGCATGGTAAGCAGTTTAGGAGAAGAGGTTTACTGGAAGTGCAAGCAGTCTCCATGCGGGAGACAACGTTTGTCGTGTTGTCATTGTGTTTTATGTTTGTGAAAATGTATGTGTATAAGTGCTCATCCTCCCCTTCCCACCCTTTTTTGTTTTGTTTTTGTTTTTTGGCTACAACCCTTTTACCAAACTCAGGGACTCCCCAATGCAGTATCATAATTTGAAGGACCATATCGATGGCTTCTGTAGATAAAGGTTTAGGCAGGGCGGACACCACAGTGGTGAGTTGGAATGTAAGGGGATTGAATCACCCGGTGAAGCGAAGCAAGGTGTTTTCTCATCTAAACAAATTAAAAACTGAAATAGAATATTTACAGGAAACTCATTTATTAAATAAAGACCAGCTAATGCTTAAAAGAGCAGGATTTACACAGGTTTTCCACTCCGATTGTAATAGCAAGAGCAGGGGGGTAGCTATTCTCCTGCACAGAGATGTGCAGTTTGAAGAGTTAAAATTCATAAGGGACAAAAATGGTCGTTACATAATTATTCAAGGTAAACTGTTCAATAAGCCAGTAGTGCTTGCGAATGTGTA